ATAGTATCAAACCACGAATGCCTGATACTTGTGCTACTCATGTCATTGCGTGTGTTAATTGGGGAATCGATGCGGTCGTTATTTTACAACTGCCACCTGATAATGAACACAACGAGGCAATCGATTATGTCCTTATAAAACTATGCACCTTTTTGAGCAATGATCGAACTAATGAAACGTTCTCAGGAGAAGATGAAACTTTTCTCAAAAAAATTCTTCACACAGAAGTCTTTTCCAACATACCTGAACTCACTAAAATCGATTCGATACATGATTTTTACCGCCGTATTCCTTCAGTAAAGCGTAATAGCAACCTGCACAAACCATATAATTATAATCTTTATCCAATTGAATACATTTATACTGTGAATAATGGAAAGCAAGTTGTATTTATTGAGTTGCAAGAAAACAACGTTTTCATAATAGAATCTTATTTACTTCAATTATCACTCGATTTTAAAAGAATAAGCAATGCAATGAATCAAGATTATCCAAATCTAGAACAACATCTCAAAACGGAACTTAATAAGATGCGAACAAGCTGGGATGAATTGCAAGCGATGTATACAAGTCAAATTCTCCGACTTCAAGATTTAGTGATTGGTATCCGTCGCGGTGAAATCGATCAAAGTAAGATTGCTAACGAATTAAGCAAAAGCCAAGCAAGAAAATTGACAAGGACAATAAATGATTTCACTGATCGGTTGAATTTCGTACGGGTTGGCGACGTAACACATCACTTCAAGTATTAAGCATTTATTTCAAAATTAAAAATAAACATTTGTGCCACATTGTAGAGCACATACGAAAGTTTAAGCAGATATATTCTGCTACTTGAAAAATCATTTCTCTAAATCTTTAAAAATATATACTCTAAGCGCTGATTGTCAAATTGTCCGTTATAACGTTTCCTATTTTACTTTGAAACTAAATGTGCATCTTAAAGTCTAGATGGGAACTTCTGCTACCATATGTTTTCTAAACTATCAAGTACGATCTTTCTTTCGGCAAAAGGATACACATTTCTTTTTATCTTCACATTGAGATATTCTGAAAATAAAACTTGATCAATCTAGTTGTAACAGCGTTACGAAAATACTTGACTTTAAAATTTAGGAGAGCCATTTATGAAATAACGAGTGTGGGTGTGGGTGTAGGTGTAAGTGTATGGGGTGTATGAGTGTTGGTGTAGGCGTGGATGTGATTGTAGGTGATATGTAAAGAAGGAAACGCTCATAGTCTACACCCACACCCATACACCCAAATCTAGGGACGCCATTTAAAATATGGTAAACTGATTCCACCAGATGGCATGATTATGAAAGATGATTCAAAATGTATTTTACAATGAATTCATTTAGTCCTTTTTGTATTTATATTTTATGATTCATTACTTTGTTCCTGTTAATCACGAATAACTGACATGCTTTTGAACATATTTCTTCGAAATTCTTATTTTTAGTCTTTGTATCGAGTAACAACTTTTAGTAAATATGCTCATCAAGAAAAGCAAAGTTGGTATTCTAGAATTCATGAGTATCTATGTTTTTTATTTTTTCCAAGTCTACACATAGCTTCATATCTTGTACAAGAATGCACCCGATGTAGGATATGAAATGACGAAATTAGCTAAGTGTAAGCAGCATTTATTCGTGGAAGACTTAAACAATAAGTGCACTTATCAAATATAATGTACTTTTGTCTCTTTTTTTGTAAACTTTAATCACGATACTTATTTGTAAAGAAATAATTAGATAAAATCAATTAGTTCAGCTAGCGGCTGTCCCTTGAAGATACAACTGAAAGGAAATGACAATAGCATTTAACCATGTATATAAAGTCTGTTTATTTACTAGAAGATGCCGATTATAAACTGGTGAATGAATACAATGATAGGGGTAATCAAAATGTAAATTGACTAATATATGACTACCTTAAAGCCTTAGATTTTTTGCTTTTTCCGCCACACTTTTGCGAATTATATGTCGAATTTTTGTGAGGAATTTATGACTTTCTTTTATGAAAATTAATAACGTTGTAATACTTTTTTGTGATCATACTCAGGTCAAATACTTCCATTCTCTTCAATTTCATATGTCATGTGTCATTCAGATTCTATCAACAGTGTTCGTACAGACCTAACTAACCTTATTCATGCTAAAGAGTGATTTATTGTAATTAAGAAATCAAAGACGAATGATATTTTGAAATTCAAGTTTGAATGATATTCCTGACAATTTGCAAGCGATTCATTAATGCAAATGAATTTCAGTCGTTGAATACACATAATTACACAAGATCGACATTGTCACGAAAGTATACGTAATTATCAAAATATATGTATAGAGTCTTGTGCATATAGATTCCTTCATTTCGTCTAATTCTACCGCTGTTCTCTTGTCTAGACACACGAAATGACAGAAAGTCTTATGAAGTTCAATAAAATTTGTTTGCTTTTTTTTCTGCTTCAGTTCATTTGCAAATCCGATGCACGACAAGCGAACCGTTTTCGGTTTTGGATAACATGATTTGTGATACATGATGCTATAGTGCAAGTTAAAGATGCTTTGGTTTTGGGCAATAATGCGTGAATGGACGAAATGGTTAGTGAATGATTTTCGTATTTTATTAAGCAACTGAAAATTTATGATTATCAATAAGTAAGATATCTTTGAAAGAATCTTGTTCAGAGCGCAGATTTCCCAAGTTTCATTCAATTTTACATTTGAAAATGTGTCTTGGTTGAAATGACCCAACGTACTACGAAATTCAAAGAAAATAATTGAAAGCTGCTTTTTGAACACTAGAATATGAGTATTCATTTAAGATACGTGAAATGACGAAATTTTCTACAATGTTAATTGAGTTTTAGTAGTGTGGACTGGCTGTAATGATAAGAAGTCGAAGTTAAACGCTTTTTTTTATGGTTCTGTTTTCTTTTATAATATTGACGCAGAATGTGTATGCGCAAAGCTACGACCGACTCAGCGAACTACAGGCAACATATTTGTCATGTCTTCTTGAATAATTTGTGCACAGATGAAGCAAAAGCAAATTCATTCTTTTGCTTGAATTTGATTCGAAGGCAAGTAAGGCTACTTTCACGCAAAACATAATCATACTCTTTTTCAAGTAGTAACCAGAATTCATTCCGTATATCGTGTCATTTTGAGAATCGTAACTTGAGGGTGTGAGTGTAGCCGAACAGAAGACACAAATATTCACACAATATGCACAGTCTGAGCAAGCAACAAATGAAAAGTTATTATCACTGTTAATCAACACATCGTTTCTATTTGAACTTCATATTTCGCATTTTATTTATCTTGAAAAATCTCAAATATGAAAAACTCCACTGAGATAGTTAATGCTGTTTCTCATGCGTTTAATGATGCACATTAGCATTACTTGAACGTAACGGTTCTTCCTGTCATAGGTAAGTAAATCATAAAAATGTAATGTTAGACTTATTCCAGTTAAGAATGATTCAAATGTAGACTTAATGGTTCATAATGACAGATTTCTGTCATTATGACTTTTATTTTAGAAGGAAATGAATTAGATATGATGGGATATTTTATAGAATAAGATATTATTAATGCTTTTACAGTGCATAAATAAAATCCACGAGCTAAAGTATATCGAACAACACCTTTTTTTGATGTGATCAGGAGAAAGTTTTCATAAAAGTCTTAATTTCAGATTTCTGAAACATGTCAAAGTGCATTCAATTGTTTAGCATAGGTTTACAATAAATCCAATTTATGCTAGTTTCCTTACCGGCTTTTCAAGCTGCTGCGACTTTCATGAAATTTACTTCATTTAGAGTGTGAATGTGTATCTTCTTGTCACCTATACGCATGCCCTGAAAGGAATAAATTTTATGAAAGTCATAGTAGCTCGAAGAATCATAGAGCAAAAAAGGATAAACTTTGTTTCTTGTGGACCCTTACCATTATCTTTCATGAATATGGATGAATTCTAAAAAAATTGTTCAATGAAATTCAATAATTATTTGAACGTTATCGTGTTGTGTTTGTTTTGTGTGATATAGATACTAATGAAGTTTTATTCATTGTTTGCAAAGATAAACTAATGAAGTATAAATGAATACATATATTACAACATAAAAGAAAACTTTAATGTTTTATTTCGTCATGAAATAACTATCGTACTTGGTCAGCTTCAAGCAAAATGTTCAATTCCAACATGAACTCAACAATTGTCAATTCTCAATAAAAAAGTATATGGTTCAATATATACTAATGGATGTCGTCATATTCTTGAAACATATTTAAATGATAAAAGACATCTTGTACATGAAAGTTGTGAAGTTACATTATATATCAATAACTAAGTAAACAGTGTCAATTTTTTATATTTTAATGAGGTTGATGCTTGTTGAATTGAAATTTTTACAAAAAATGGTTTGATTTTTCGTCTAGAAAGAATACTAGAGATCGATAATAGTCATGAATGATATTTCATTTTTGAAAATAGAATAGAATTTTTTTCAGATGCCAGTACAGAAAAAAAATGTCGACAGAGATAGCAGGCTGTTCAGAAGTGCCGTGATCAGTTAGAGAGGAATTTCGAAAATATCACTAATTATCACAATGGAAAGAAAGGAATGCATGCAAATGATCACATGATCAACACTACCTTGCATTTACTTCAGAAAGAACAAAGAGAAAATAATTCGACTATTTAATGCATTCCTGTTTTCAACACACGGAATGACAACAATTTTCTTACGTTTATATTCATAGAAGCATATTTACTATATGCATTTATATGCGTTATAGGCTGATTCATTCTCCCTAGATAAATTATCACTATCACTTTTATATTTCTTATCAAAGAGGTAAAAACAATTTTTTGTTTCTTAATCAAAGTCGAATTGCTAGTATTCATCCAAATTAAAAACTTTTTGTTTATCCTAATAATCTTTTGGAAAAAAAAATAATTCTGATTTTATATTATTTATTATATGTTTCAAGATGTCAAAAAAAGATAATCGCAAATGGATAAGTCTCATAGCACTTGTTCTACAAACTACCAGTCTTGTACTTCTATTACGTTATTCAAAAACAATAAAAACTGAACAATATTTATCATCAACGGCTATTGTTACTGCTGAAATTATCAAAGGATTGATTTGTATTTTTCTTGTTTGGTTAGAAAGTGGTAGGTAGAAAGATATTAATCGTTTAAAAATAATAGTTAATTTCATTTCAATATAGATCGTTCAATGAATCGATTATTTCGAGTAATCAAACAAGAAATCTATGCTAAACCTTATGATACTTCTAAATTAGCTATACCAAGTGGATTATATGCAATTCAAAATAATCTTTTATTTATTGCATTATCTTATTTAAATGCAGCAACATATCAAGTAACTTATCAATTAAAAATTTTAACTACCGCTTTATGTTCTGTAGTTATACGCAAAAAAATAATAGAAAAACATCAGTGGTTTTCTTTATTTATACTTACTATTGGTGTTGCATTTGTAACAGTAAGATAAAAATATGAGAAAAATTAAAATTAAAAAGTTTACATTTATTTTAATAGTGGCCATCATCAGATGAAATTCATAAACGTTCAACAGCACAAAGTCAAGCAACTTGGTTACAACAACTTATGGGTTTTGGTGCTGTATTAATAGCTTCATTTACATCCGGTTTTGCTGGTGTTTATTATGAAGAAATTCTTAAAACTGAATCAACATCAATTTGGATTAGAAATATTCAATTAGGTAACCAAAAACTCGCATATATAGTTTTGGTCATTTCATGTCAGTTGTTCAATGTTTCATTATAAAACATTCAATCAGCTCATATGATCAACAGTTTAGCCAAGAGATTGAAATATTTTATTAGAAAATCAGTGCAAAACTCTGAAGAACATAATCTTGATAATGATTTATGTAATATTCTAAAGACGTACACTTCATCATCAACACACATTTTTACTTGTTACCATGTACAGGAAATAAATCCTCAACCTATAGAGATTTATTCTTAAGCAAAATCTAAAATCAAATGCATTCCTACCCTGTTCCAAACTATGATAAACATTGACCAGAGACAGATGCATAGAAGATAACTTTTTTTTTCTGACAATGTATCTTGACTGAGAAAAATTTTCTTACCCTTACCCTCCTACCTTACTGTGCATAGCTCTAGTCGAAGATCAAAGTTTAATATGATAGATATTATTGATATAGGATCACAAAACATACATCCAAAAGAGCTCGTTGCAATGTATTAACTATTTTCTTGTTGCGTTTCTGAAAGATTTCGTAAAATGACGGCCAAGAAATATGTCACAACATAGACAGAGTAAAACCACCTTCTTATCATTAGCAGCAGCACTTGCACCGTTTTTCACATTCTACTAACAGATTTTTATACTATTGTGATCAACTTGCCATATTGTACGAGTTGGAAAATGAACAACTTTTATCATTTATTTCGTTTATTTGAAAGCTCTTTTTGGAACACTCTTTGGTTTGACCATTATGTTTTGCTTGGATTATGAAGCTGTGATGGATAAAGGTTTCTTTCAAGGATATTCAACAATTGTATGGATAATTGTACTTATTCAAGTAAATAAAATTAATAAACATTTAACTCTGAAATATGTTTATTGTTCTAGGCAATTGGCGGTTTGATAATTGGTATAGTGATCAAATACAGTGACAATATTATTAAATGCTTTGCAACTTCTCTTTCAATTCTTTTTTCTTCTGTTATTTCTTACTTTCTTTTACATGATTTTATACCATCGTTGTAAGAAAATTGATTTAGATAGACAATGAGAAAAAAGTATATTTTTTGTATTTAGATTTTTTTACGTGGGAACCACATTCGTTTTAACAGCAACCTTTATGTACGGGTGGAAAAAAAGATAATGACATTGTCTGTAAATGAATAAACTTGTATTTGAAATCTTGATGAAATTAACAAAGATTGTCTTTAATAAATTGAATATGTACGTCTATTTATATGAATTGTGATTCAATCGACCATAGAAAACACTGACATCGGCATCCTTTATGATATTATTCCTACTTTAATCCTTCTATGATTTAAGAGTTCGGTTTAAGAAGACTGGTCGAATCGACACGCTACTTATTTATAGAATTTCATTTATTACATTCATTGGTACTTTTACAAGAAACTTGTTTAAAATGAAACTTCAACAAATACAGCCGATGCATCTATTCATAAATCAGTTGTGGTGCCATGTTCGGTGGTAACATAGCTGCTAAACTTTGACACGATTTTGCTCTCATCCAATCAAGTGTCATATCAGCTGTTTCCAGAGTAAATCTTCCATAGTCCAGAATACGTTGATTAATATGATGATATGCATAACATACTGTCACTTTATCAGTATAATCAACATTTGTTGCCACCAATAGATAGGTTGCTATACCATGTTTGCCACCGACTTTGAATTCCAATTGTTTGAATTCTGTTGCACTGGCACCACTAAATTCAATATTGAAGCACAATGTTCTTTGAAACATATCCCATCCATCAGCACCACTTAAGTTCAGGATATTTCCTAGACCATTTAAATATTGTTTGCCATCTTTTTTGCTATCCAACACTTTTAAACTATTGAAACTAGTATGATCGTTGGACAAAGATTTTTGAGACCAGTGTCGTTCACATGCATCGACATACGCACGTTTAACACGAATTTCATTTACCATCTGAAAATTAGCAAATCAATGATAATGACAAAGAGAATGTGTACGAAAAGTGTACAGAAATTTTTGCACACATCACTAGTTGTAAACAGGTGAAGAGAAACAAATCAAATTGTTTATTATTCCTTTATTCTTACTTAAGATGAAGAGGGAAAAAACCATGGATGAGCTCAATGCAAATGACATCATGCTGTTGCTGTTCATACTTAGTGTAAACCACTGAATTGAATTCTGATAGCCATTTCAACGCGATATCGAGTCTTCTCTACTACAACAAGAGTAAACGTGCAAGGCACTTCTCCGAAGTTTAGCGGATACGAAAATTGTGTAGGATTTTTCAAACATTTAATCTCATTTGATAAATGTTCTAGAAACCGTTCACCGTAACCACATGTTTTGCTGTACTCCAATATTTCAGGTATCTTAGTTAAAAATCCGCTTTCCGTTCTGTTCACTGAATGATATCGCCATCCACTATTCCATGAATTCCATTTACTTTGTCTTATAATATCGGTAGCCTCTCCATCTCGTAAAACTTTGGTATTGTCACGTGAAAATGTTACAGCTTTGGCTGTATGAATTCTTGGACCATTCAAGCGCTGTGGCATTATGTACCCTCTTTGCTCGTTGGATAAACGTAAATCATCACAAGCACGTTGCTTCAACCATGAGGACGCCATGCCTTCTTCGATCATCACATTGTCATGATCAACTAATCTGGTGGTAGTTGGCGATAGTTTATGAAGAGAGAGAGCAACCTGTTTTTGTCGAAGATCAGAATGTTGTTTTACCACAACGAGCAAGAAGCAGAAGTCTCCCATTTCATCCACATATTCGAGACTACCAACAAATTCATTATGCAAACTATGAATCGATTGTTGCAAGTCGTGAATAAGCTGTTCGCCGACTTTTCGCTGGTCAATGTTCCATATACTACACTGGCCGATTATATAACGATCAATATCATTCGCATTGTCGAGAATCTTCATACTATTTACTGCTGTGTATTTCCAAGATTCCATCTTCCTGGATGTTGATCTTTGGTCGCAGCAGTTCCAAGTCATCGTACACAATATTCTTGTTTCTAATCTAGAATATCAGATAATGAATTTGGCACAACCTGCATGTACTTGTAGATTCTCTCTCTATCTTTGTTACCTACTCATACACTAGGCAGATATGTTTTTCATTGTCGTTTTTCATGGATCTTCTCAAAAAATTCTATTGAAGTTATATTGAAATGTAATAAGATCCACCTTGTATTCTCAGTATATTTATCAAGCTTTTAAATTCTTCACATTCTCTTCAAAACCTAAAGATTCGTATACAAATAGACGACTTGGATACTGCTCCTTCGAATAAAGAAAACCAAATAAATCGTATTGCCTATAAAGACGGCTGAATTAATATTTGCCTTAAATAACTATCATCAAAAAGTAAAAGATTAAGTTTCATTGACACTACTACTTAATTAATCGTGAGATAATTTCTAGTACCATCAGACTTTTGCGATAGTTATAAAACGCAATCAATATGTTCTTTAAGAATCATTCAAGCTGATAAATCTGAATTCGCGTGTGCTAGAGACAGAAAAAAAAACGGTTCCAACAAATCAGAATATTTTTTTTCGGATTTTTCGACTTTATTGGGACTTTTCAACTATTTTCGATCATACATCTGCTTGGATTCAAAAATTGGGACAACTAAAAAGTCTAATAAAAGCATAAATCATATCTGAAAAATTTCAGAAGTATGCTCTATTCAGTATTAAACATTATCTATTAGTTTCCAACTTCAATACTTACGATTAATCGTTATTCACCTAAAATTTGAGTTTTATTTTACTTCTATTGAATTAGATAGGAAGAAAGCTCGACATTTGCATCATTACTTTTATACCGCATAGTTGTTTTTATAGAGAAAGTCTGAGAAGCACTTGTTAGTTTCAAGTTTTTCTCTACTTGAATAAAAAACAGTGTGAGTCACAACATAACCAACAAACGGAAGAAAAATGTAAATGCGAAATTTCAAAACGATTGATTCAACGGCAGTTAGTTTTTCTTGGGAAGCAAACAAAATAGATTTTGCTGGTTGAACAGTTTTTCAAAAAAAAAGTTACCTAGTCAATGTGATTTCTAAACGAACTTGGACAGGTAACTGCATACGTAATGTTCGTAATATGCGTGGTTTTTCAACAAGTGTTCGAACACTGAAACCAAGAAAATAGACTAGGACTACACATCTTCACTGTATGACTAGAAGTAATGTACAGAAAAAAACTTTGAATTGGTCTTGTTTTTCGCTTCAATGCTTATTGAAGAAGTATCATAAACATGTATGCAAATGAATATTTAATATATAAAGATCTGAGTGTGTTTGCCTAGCTCTCATATTCTTCCAATAATAGTCATTTGCAAGTCTATTAACTATAGCTGATTGGGCACCAAACAAGTGTGATATCACTACCTTACAGCATAAAATTATTCCGTTAGTGTGATTTAAAGGGCCTTCTCGTTATAGACCAAAATTTTTCAAATTTTTCGTTTTTTCTACTCTGCATATGCTTCGAAGTGTTTTCCATCTATTGATGACGTTTTGAGAACTCAAATATGTGTATAAAGTAAAAAAAAAAAGATCTCAAAGATAACTCCATTGTTGTAATGGTATAACAGCGAATTTTCTTTCTATTATGGTTTTGTCAAAACCTAGTTTTTCAGCAAAACTCTACAGAATTCCACACCTTTCTCGAGCATAGTATATTCAATTAAGCTATAACTTTTTCTACAAGTACCAGATAGTGTTTCGAGTGTATATTTTTTTTTATTTTGAAAGATCTTACGAGAGAAGCATGATTGAAAAAAATTATTCGTTTTCTTAGGTGTTGTTCGTATGTGGGCTGGCTTATTAGAAAGAAACCAAAAAAATTAGGTATCCTAAAATATTTTTAGTATTTGTCAAAGGAATTTTCAGTTCTGTCTCATTTACAACGACTGAGAGAGCGAGAAGATTAGGGGTTGGAAAGGTAGATATTGACTCTCCAATATCTATCTTAGAGATCTATTTATTCTCGAAGTTTCATAGTTTTCTAATGAGCCATTCTCAAAATGTACCAGAAAGGAAAAGAGAGCGTAAGTGAACACTCACACCGTAACTGACCATGTTGTCTATTTTACTAATCAAATATTGTATTTGCCTTTTTCAATAATGATTTGAGTTTGGGTGAAGTGTGGGGTGTTGATTTTTCAGCACATACTATCATTGATAGTAGTTTTAAATCATATGTTTTATGCTTTGTTCCATTATGGTTTTCGTATAATTACTGAGAGTGCTGCAATAATATTAATGCATTTCAAGATATTATCACTCCTTGTTTCAAGCAACACTTTGTTCAAGATGGATATGAAGGAATAAATGATGATTTGGATATGAATAGTGGAACAATAAGCGCCGAATATGAGTATCCAGCGGATCCATTGTCGACAACTATAAGTGCTTCAAAATCTATTGATTCAGCACTTGAAGATCTTATTAAAGAATCATGTAATCAACAATAGGAAAACAATGTAGTGTTTAGGATTCCATACTTTGCTCATGCGATCCAACTGATGGTGGAAAATGGTTTGAAAGAAGCTAAATCAATTTTAGGTGCGCTAGAAACAAATTTTTGCACTTGCAAGAAAATGAAATTCCCAATTTATTACTACAAAACGAATTTTTACTATACTACCTGTTGAATTAAATGAGTTATTGACTCAATTAAAGTACAAACGTTTGTGTTTGAATACACGTGACTTAACTATGTTACACGAGTTGTTGCTTTACTATCACTATTCGCTGAAGCAACAACGGTTACACAACGGTAAAAATTCTCCATCCAGGGTGTGGGATGTGGGTGTGTGGGTGACGATGTGGGTGTAGAATGAAAGAATACCCATACTCACCCACCCATACCCACATCCACATCCACACCCACTCACACCCAACTTGCATATTACATTGATAAAGTTAAAAAAGTGTACAATATTTGAAGAATTCTTGAAAACTCATCAAATGGAGGTTCCATGTCTTTCAGTGCTTGTTCGTTCATTTAATATTCGAGCAGTAATCTCCGTTCCCAGTGAAAGCTTATTTAGTGTTGCTGCTTATGTAAATCGAAAACAACGCTCGTCTATATCTTCAAATGCCCTTCGATATTCAATGATACTTCGTGATTCAGATAGGGTGTGGGTGAATGGCGGTGTGGTTATGGGTGTCGGTAGGAGTGAGGATGTGGCGGTGGCTGTGGTTGTAGGTAGTCATGGGTGTGGAGTGTGGGTGTCGGATCTGCATAACCTCTAATCTAGCTTACACTCACACCCACGCACCCTTTCACGATCTATTCTGTTTTGAAATGTTGTCCATTTTTTGCTTTGAATCTTGTTTCTAGTTTCGTCATGAAATACATGAGTAAAAATGAATATCAACGAAACGTTTAGTTACAAATAAAAAGAAGATCAGATTTCACCGAGAAAACTAGTCCAGAATGTGTATTTCAAGCGGTGGTTTTCTTCTTGTATAGTTTGTATATGTTATAAACTGCAAAAAGGTAATTCTGAGTGTTTCAATATCAAGACAAAATTAAAAAAAAAACCTTTGTAATGTCATGCCGATTGTGTTTCAGTGTCCTAAATTGCTCTTGTTGTTTGATCTGCTATTGTTCTTATAATGTCTATCTCACATGTTCGTCGTTAAGATTAGTTCCACTAATGGAATGTATATTGAACTGATACATAGACGATGACGAAACATATTATGTAATAATTTAATGAATTAAAATCCTTGTTTTCACTTAGTGTCAAACTTACTCTATTGAACATTAACACAATGGTGAAAAATTGTCTAAATTAGAACATAACATACTAGAGATCTACATGTAATCATAAAAAGTACAAATAAAATATATTACCAGAGCTGTAATTATATATATAGTTTATAATATTATCACTTGAATGATATTTATTTAG